GTGGCCTGACTTAAGGGCGCACAGAAATATTGGCATTAAAAAAGCTCATTTTGCGTTGCTTGCTCAATTAGGCACTTTTTAGACCCGATTTTCTAGACCCCCTTGAAAAGCGACCTTATTGAGGGTCAAAAATCGACTTTTTTGTCTATCACAAACTATAGTCTAACATGTAAAATAATTTGGACAAATCTGGGAGGGTCGCATATATCACTTACTTCTAACAAGAAAATACTACCTGCGTTTCTTATTAAAACTGCAGTCTACTATAATAACCCCTGCAGCGTATATATCATAGTGACTTCATGGTATTGGCTATTAAATGGTACGCGATTAGTCGATATACAAGTGGGAGTAAACCTAACAGTCGATCAATGGACTAAGCGCACGCGCTCGCTTGGTCTCCGCATCCTCATCGCTGAGTTACCTCCATCCCTCGCGCATGTACAGGTGAAGAGCTTGGAGCATCGCTGCAGAGCCTTCAGGAAGCCACTTCCAGTGATGCTGCGCACGGCAGGAATGAACTACAGGCCGACAGCTCGCCGCGCCGAGCCGGCTTAAACGGGCGCTCAGCGCGCACAAGCAGTCCCTAGTGAGCAGGGAGCTGCAGGAACGCGGCGGCAGTCTGATGGTCGAGGCAGCTCAGAACGTTTAGTCACAGAGAAGTCAGGAGGTGTCTCCCGGGCGAGAGGGTGGTCCGTGGTCGGTGGGGAGACGTGTGGAAGACAAGAGAAAGGTTTCTTCCTACCGTTATTTACTGTCTGCTATTGTATTGAACTCTGCCTGTCCATTGGTCCACTCCTTACCACTGATGTATTGTGGTACTTGTATTGCATTGTAGTTGTAGTAATGAAGAAGTTATAGCTATTTGTTAACAGCTTTAAATTATTCCATCCTTCATGATTATGTCTCACGAAAAAAGACTATTCAGTCAAATGTATTTATAGCGTCTGAAGATATAAATTGTTATAACCATAATAATAACTAACTGAATAATAATAATAATTGTTGTCTTGGGCATATGTCAGACTTAGGTCATGTTCATCTCTCATTCGTATCCACCCCCAGCCTGGTTCCTAAATTGTTCGTGCAGGACTATTGTACCTGTTCATCTCCCATTGCTCCACCCAGAATTTACATTGTTCGGTACATTCTCTGGCTCTTGTCACCTATCTCCACTGTGTACGGCGCAGCCAGCTGGGTCATTGTCGAACTCTCTTGTATAGAATTCATGTCTCTCGTGAGGTTGTCACAGTGGGTCGATATGGTTCGGAGCTATTCGTATTGTCTATCTCGTCCATTGGTCCAGCAGATCTTGTCAATTGTCGTACGATTGTACTGAATTTCATTTCTATCCATTTGTCACAGCTGGTCTATCTGTCGTGAACCTATTGTCTGTTCATCTCTCCATTGTCCACCCAGCTGGTCATTGTCGGACTATTGTCTGTTCATCTGCCATTGCCATCATCAATCTGACCGGTGTCCCCCTCATCTGACCGGTGTCCTGCTCCCCTGACCGGTGTCTCGTGTTGTAGAGGGTGGGACAGCTGGAGGCGTGTGTGGCCGAGCACAGGAAGGCTGAGGAGGAGATCGGACGCGAGATCGACACGCTCAAGGCCATGGTCGTCGGGAGGGCGGCGACCTGAGGACTCGCGTCGAGGACCTCGATCGTCTCTCGCAGCACCAACCGCGAACCTACAGGCCAGGGTAGGTGTCCTTGGTGACAGGTAGTGGCCGTCTCTATAGAGGCTGGTCCAGCACAACCGCCTTGACCTACAGGCAAGGTATAGGCGTCTCTTTTAGACAGGTGGTTGCCTCTTTCTTATAGAGCGTGAGTCCACCAGGACACCCGCGACCATATGCCAGGTAAGGGTGTCCTTTTATAGACATTGGTGGCTCTCTTAGTAAGGATGTTGAGTTCACAGCTTGACACACGCTGACCTACCAGGCAAGGGTAGGAGTGTCCTTTGTTGACAGGTTGGTGGCCTCTTCTATAGAGGTGAGTCCACAGTTACAACGCCGGACCTACATGCAGCTAGGGGTCCCTTGTAGACACGGTGGTGGCTCTTGATAGAGGTTGATTGGTCACTATCAGCACCGCGAACTCACAGGACAAAGCTAGGGTTGTTCCTTGTAAGACAGGTGGTGGCCCTCTCTCATAGAGGTGAGTCTAAGGGCAACCAACCGCGAATCCTACAGGCAAGGTCTAGGGCGTCCTTTACCTGACGACACTGCGCAGTAGTGGCCTCTCTATAATCGTGAAGTCCCACAGCACAAGCCGCCCGATCCGTACACGCGGGCCAATGGCGCGGTAGGGCGTCCTTTTATAGACAGGTAGTGGCCTCTTATTAGAGGTGATCCAACCAGGTACAACCGCCGACCTACAGGCAAGTAGGGTGTCCTTTGTCAGTCTATTTAAGTAGTGGCCTCTCTATTAGGAGGTGAAGTCCACAGCCAGCCGCCGACCTACAGGCCAAGGTTAGGGCGTCCTTTATAGACAGGTAGCTGGGCTCTCTATAGAGGTGAGTCCACAGAACAACCGCGACCCTACAGGCCACGGGTAGGTGGGTGTCCTCTGTTTGAGACAGTAGTCGGCCCTCCCTAAGGGTAGGTCCAAAACCGAAAGGTGGCTGCCAAAAACCAGCCGCCGCGAACCTATTCAGCGCCAATGGTAGGGCGTTCCTTATAATAGGACCACGCTTAGTGGCCTACTCGTTATATGCAGGTGAGTCCACCAGCCACACGCGCGACCTACAGGCCAAGGATATAGGGGTCCCTGACAGGTAGTGCGCCTTCTCTACTCAAGCGTGACGTCCACAGATACGCGGAATGGACTCTGCTCCTGACTAGGGCCAAACTGGGTAGGGCGTCTCCTTTATTTTACAGGTAGTGGCGTCTCTATAGAGGGTGAGGTCCAGCAGCACAGGCGCCGACCCTCGACCTACAGGCCAAGGTAGGGTGTCCTTTGTAGACAGGTAGTGGCCTCTATATAGAGGTGAGTCCACAGCACAACCGCGACCTACAGGCCAAGGTAGGGTGTCCTTTGTAGACAGGTAGTGGCCTCTATATAGAGGTGACTCTCGCAGCACAACCGCGACCTACAGGCCAAGGTAGGGTGTCCTTTGTAGACAGGTGGTGGCCTCTCTATAGAGGTGAGTCCACAGCACAACCGCGACCTACAGGCCAAGGTAGGGCGTCCTTTATAGACAGGTGACGGCCTCTCTAGAGAGGTGAGTCCACAGTACAACCGCGACCTACAGGCCAAGGTAGGGCGTCCTTTATAGACAGGTGGTGGCCTCTCTATAGAGGTGAGTCCACAGCACAACCGCGACCTACAGGCCAAGGTAGGGCGTCCTTTATAGACAGGTGGTGGCCTCTCTATAGAGGTGAGTCCACAGTACAACTGCCTCTCGAGCGAAATTCCAAAAATGCCCTTCGAAGACAGTTGCCCATTCTATAAAGGTGAATTCGCAGTGTGACCACCTCGCAAGGAAAATGCCGAAATCGGCCTTAATAGACAGGCGGCTTTACTATAGAGGTGACTGACCCTCTCTCGCAGGTGGAGGAGATGGAGGCGCTGTCTCAGGAGCGTGCGCACCTGATGACCCGCCTCGCAGAGCTGGATCACGCCATGCAGGAACTCGAGAACCAGTTCACGGCGAAGGATGCGGAGCTGCAGGGGGCGCTAGCGGCGCGGCAGCAGCTGGAGAGGGCGCTGGAGAAGCTGCATCGCGACCACGAGGTGGCGTAGCTGTGCTCATTTGAGAGATAGAGGGAAGGAGGGAGAGAGATAGAGCGAGGGAGAGAGAGTGAAAGAGGAAGAGAGAGAGAGAGAGAACGAGAGAGGAAAAGAGTGAGAAAAGAGTGAAACTTTCATTGAGAATAGTTAAACATTTGTTCCGCCGCATCACCATTATTCCCATCACCTTCCCCCATCCACATCCTCATCCCCATCCACATCCTCATCCCCATCACCTTCCCCCATCCACATCCTCTCCCCCATCACCTTCCCCCATCCGCATCCTCTCCCCCATCACCTTCCCCCATCCACATCCTCTCCCCCTACCTCTCCCCCATTCTCATCCTCATGCTCATCCTCTCTCTCTTCCCTCCTGCAGGAAGCTCTAGCGGACAAGCACGTGTTGCGGGAGCAGCTTAACGAGCAGCTGCTGATGCTGGCGGAGCTTCGTGCGAGCACGGACGAGGCGCGGCACGGTCCGCCCCCCGCCGCCGCCGCTGCCGGCGCCAGACTCACCGAGCTTCAGGAGCAGGTGCAGGGACTGCAGGACACGATCGCTAACAAGGATAGTGAGGTGGGTGTGAGAGAGGTGAGAGAGGAGAGAGGTGAGAGAGGGAGAGAGAGAGGTGAGAGGTGAGAGAGAGAGGAGAGAGAGGCAGGAGCAGGTGCAGGGACTGCAGGACACGATCGCTAACAAGGATAGTGAGGTGGGTGTGAGAGAGGTGAGAGAGAGGTGTTAGAGAGGTGTGTGAGAGAGAGAGAGAGAGAGAGGAGAGAGAGAGAGAGAGGTGTGAGAGAGGTGTGTGAGAGAGAGAGAGAGAGAGGAGAGAGAGAGAGAGGTGTGAGAGAGGTGAGAGAGAGAGAGAGAGAGAGAGCGAAGAGAGAAGAAGAGGTAAGAGTGGACAAGGTTAGCAGAAGAGAGAAGAGAGAGAGAGCAGAGAGCAGCAGAACGGGAGAAGGGGCAGAGAGGTGAGCAGAGATAGAGAGACGTAAGCAGCAGGAGAGAGAGAGGGTGAGAAGCAGGGGGAGAGCGGTGAGAGAGGAGAGAGAGGAGAGAGAGAGGTAAGAGAGGAGAGAGAGAGGGAGAAGAGGGACAAGGTGGAGAAGAAGAGAAAGTAAGAGAAGTGAGAGAGAAGGGCGTGAGAGAA